TGCTACGTAGCGTGTGGCAAGAGACTGACTACAGGTGGGACGTCTGCCGCGTTACCAATGGAAGTCACATTGAACCATAACTATCCGAGGTAAAACTTGGTGTGTTTAGCTACATTATGACAGTTCAAAACGTTGTGTATATCCTCTGTATAAATTTATATAAGCTTTCAAAGTTGTAAAGCTCTTTTTGAAACACCCTGTATATCCTGCCATATGTTGGCTCCAGTGTCTGGAGACAGGGACTAGCTCTACTGAAAGGGCCCTACTGTAAGCTTTTTACCTGAGGACAGAGGCAGATTCTAGTCTCTGAAACGTTTTAAATAAAAAGAGGATGCTAGATAATGTCAAAAACGTCAATAACTGTATCAAATTGAACACTACTATTCTTGTACTATTTACAGGAGACATAAATCAAGTGGTGTAATTTAGTGACAACTTAAATGGAAAACCAACATTTTCCCACATCTCACCTCGTTCTGTAAAAGCTCCATCTTGTCTGTCTTGTATTCGCTGAAATAACTCACCTCCCTCCATACTGAAAAATCAGAATGATAATATAAAAGTTCACAGTTCAAAATGAAACAAAGCTGATATGTAATGCAGCATGTTCTGTTAAGAACATCAATTTAAAAAATTTTGTGTCTAAAACATGTATTACATTACAAAAATTGGGGGCTGGATTTCCATTCTTTTGGTATCCTGTGATACAGTTTTCAATAAGGTAAAATTTCTTATTCTGCAATACATTGTGTTCTTTGTCACCTATCATTCAACCACAAGTGGCATGTCTAAAACAATTATTTCTTTGAATTTAGGGTGACATTTCAATGAAGCATTAAGAAAAACCCACCATCTTCTTTTGTGTTCAACAGATGAGATAGTCAGATAAAAACTGAGAAATGCAAATTATATTATGTGTATTTCTCAACTCAGGCACTATCAAGATAAAACTCAAACAACAGGAACTATTATGCACTCTGTCTCTGTAAACAATGCCACTGACTGGCATAAATGCAAGCCATGATGAGGCATTCTTCATATCTTCCTTAGAATGGATGTGAGTGTGATAGAGTACTACATGTTAAAATATGTACAAATGTGAAGTGTGAACGCATTGTGACAATCTAATATAGAATAAGAATAAAAGTTAATGGGTTATGTGTCCATTTAGGTCGGAGGTGCAAGTACTATGGGGGCCAGGCCTCAGCCCCAGAGAATCCCTTTATGCCTTCAGGGAGTCCAAATGTAACCAGAAATATTAGAATTTTGCACCTTATATTTCATTTCTATGTTGGACACCAGCAGGGAGGGAGGCAAGCCAAACATCAAATCAAAATTTGGGGGAGGGGGAGAAATATGTCAAACATTAATACCAAAAATTATTCTTCTATCCTGAATGCTCTAGGATGATCAATAAAAGCAGCCTTGAATGTAAGTTTGTTAACAAATTTTCTGGGGAGTTTATGGTTCATCTGGTCTAAGCTTCATTTCAAAAATTACTCTAACAGATCTGGACCAGTAAGTCCACCCTAAACAGAGATAAGATGTAATTTAATTCCATATCAGGTCACTATAACCACCACTGTTCAGGCTATCAAAGAAATACAGCATAAAATAAGTTCAGTAAAAATGACTGAAGAACAGCGAATTATTGATATTGAAAAAAATTGTCTTGTCCTCTGCCCCCACAAATTCCACAGAGAACCGGTTCTTGTATTCACATCTACACAGTGCTTTTATCATCTGGCATTAAATTTATATAACTTCTTTTTTATTGAACACAACTGTATGAAATTTTCACAGACTATTCTGTACAACTACGAAATTTGTTCATTACCAGCAGCAACACCAAACAGAGTAACAAGATGCCATTCTATGTATAGTGTTTGTTACCAAAACCTTTTACTTTTCTGGTACTTCCTGCATTGCTGTGGAGAGACAATATCATCAAAAAGTTTTCTGTTCACATTACACTGTCAAGAGATACAATTCACCAGCTTATTAAACAGCATGATGAAGCGAGAAGTGTATGTGACAAATGTGTGAAGGGTTGAAAACAGCATATCTGCTTGTATGGAAGAAGCTGGTGATGAAGCAAGGGAGGCAAAAACAAGAGTCCATAAAAAAGTGTTACACATAACAAATTTGGGTCTCAACCATGTCATGATGACTTGTTGTTTACATATAAAATGTAGCCAAGTCAGTCAGTCCTGAAGGATGGAAAAACGAGACATTATACTTTTGTGATGGTGTACACAAAACACTCTTGAAGATACTGTCTCTCCACAGAAACACAAGAACCATCAGAAGAATAAACAAGTTGGTAACAAACACATTCAAATCTGTCACATACAACGCCACCCTGTTACCCAGTTCAGCACTGCCCATGGCAACACACAAATATCCCAAATATGTAGAAAAAACTCTTGAAATTTCATACAATTACATTTAACAATAAAGAAGTGATACAAATTTGTCTAAAGGTCTGTGCCCCAGCCCCTACACAGTTTGGTCCAAAAGTGAAGCTGGATATTTCACTGCCCTCCCTTATGTGGGAGATATTTTATGCTGGCAACACCAACTGGTTTCATCTGTATGAGGTTCGTGTTCCTGTGCTCTTGCTATTATTCTTCAATCTTTATGGCCCATGTTTCAGTGGCTATAAGGAATCCACTTCCGAGCTGCAAGTAATTTTAAAGCAAACTTATAATTATTTCCAACAACTGGAAGATATAGAACATGTCTGAAGGACGGGAAACTATAGCTAATACAGATTTAAACCATGAGAGATGCAATGTATATACAAAGTTCTGACTATGTGAAAAATTTAGGAACAATGAAGGTGTGTTGAAAACTTCACACAAGAAATGGCAGGTCATGAACCCAAGACGTTTTGCATTCCTACCAGGCCGACAAGACCCACATTTTTTCAATAAACACTACTAATTTCCAGCCCACAGGGATCTTAAACTAGAATGTTAACAATGCAGTCTTATAGTATGTAATTACTAGACACATGCTGTCCAAACTACATACACAAATAAAAGATTATGGGGCCAAGTGAGCGGAAGCACATTCAAAGTGTGCCTTCACACATTTTCCTGTTAATAGAAGACCATATAAAAGTTAATTACTAAAAATGAGGTGCAAAACAGTTACCAGACTGTACAAGGAATGAAACAACTTACATTATGCTTATAACTATGATTACTGATTTTGTCTATCACCTGAGTTTGGAAAATTGACTTTGTTCCAAATAAAAGCTTTACACTATGTGTCACACCATCATTAAAGAGCTATGAATGAAGTTACACTGTAATTATACACTCAAGGAATCTTTCCCTTCATATTGCCATGTGTCAGAGTGACTCTTGATGGGGTTTTGGATTGGAAATTGCGATTTACTGACCCCTTTAACATATGACTTGTGACTACACTTAATTATAGCACCATTTATGATCTCAATACTTTACAAATCATTACAGCACATGCTAAGTCTCTTCAGTCTGCTGTCTTCACCAGCAGTTGTCTGGTAATTGCTCCAGCAATGGCTATTCCTCTACTTCTGTGCTCAAGTCCTCTCTGAATGGTGGCTCCCTTAGAATTGACTAACTTCTAAATGTCTCACAAGGGAATGGTCTGATCCAACATGTCGAAACCTGACATGATTTCTTTTTTCACTGCAAGAGTACACACAACAAAATCCGCTGTCAAAAGTTTAGCTGCTAATATGCACTGCAAGTATTTTTTAAAAATTGCCGAAGTTACTCATTTTTTCTGTACCACTTGTACCAGAGGTTTGTACAACCCCAGCCTAGGTTGTTAGTCAGCCGTGTTGCGTGTTGCGTACTGCTCTGCTCTGGCTCTGCTATGGGTGAACATTTCTCCAAGGGTCTGGCAAGCTACAATATTGGCCATGTTCAGCAATTTTTAAAAAAAATATTTGCAGTGCATATTAGCAGCTAAAATTTTGACAGTGGATTTTGTTGTGTGTACTCTTGTAGTGAAAAAAAAAATCAGGGCAGGTTCTGACATGTCAGATCAGACCATTCCCTTGTCAGTTATAACATCTGAGTTTGAACCAACAGAAAATACAGCTCTTTTATTGTTCTTCAAGTCATTTCCATGGGAATGTGTTTCGTATGTGAAGGCATTACCCAGTAACGGCTTTGGTATATTTGCTTATTTCATGACTGCTGCCTACTAACGGGCGTCTGTTTCAAGGTCGTTACCCAGCAATGGCATTACACCCTACAACATCATTGTCAAGAAAATGTATTTTTGCACTTGTGAGATCTACATAATTTTGAATCATTTAGTTGGCAATGTATAAAAATGTTTTTGTCAACTGATCTCTTGAAATTATTTTTGGGCTCAGTAATTTCAGTATACTTCATCCTGATGGCAAGTAACAGCAGATACCTAGCAGCAGGAGGAAAATTGTAGTAATGTTGAATGTGCCTATACCGACATAAATGAGCGATTACAGAAAGTGACTCTGATCTGAATGCGAATTACTATGATGATATTGAGAGAGAGTAAACAATTTGTAGTGATAAAAATATTAGTGAGAGTGTCCCAGTTAGCACAAAAGATCATGTGTTTAAAAACGGCATGATATAAAAAAAAGACAGGTTATAATTAACAGTGATAAGCCAGTGACCATAAATGTAAACACTAATTAAACTGTCCATGGATACTTCTCTAGTCTTTATATCATTTATGTGTATGGATCAGTTTAGGAGTTGCACCTTTCTCTTGTGAAAAATTGTTTTTTTTTTTTAATGTTAAAGTGCTGCAGGTAGGCCTACCAATCACCATTAATTTCACTCACCATTCCATAACAACCAGGAGGCACTTGTTTCCACTATATGTATTCTCATATACATCAATAATATTAACAATATGTCGACAGCCACTTGCCCGCCAATGAAGATCTACCTCACGACGAGCTTTTGTGCAATCGTGAAGAACCTAAAACAATATATGTAGTAGCTTCAATAAGTTAGCAGAAAGAAGTGAATACAGCAAGAATGTTGCCAATAGGCTGGCGTCTGCTTGGACTTGTTAAGACATGCACATCCCCTAGAATTGTTGACATGGTAGGTTACAGGGAAAGCACACTGCACAGAAAGTTTGAAAGTGAGGAAATGATTACAATGGACAGAGAGCTATCAGTCATTTACTGCAAATATCAGTACACATTGCAGAATCTTTGAATAAAATAAGAGAAATGATGTCCTAGTGCCTAGAGTTTGCATGACATCAAAGGTTCAAGGATAGTTATGAACTGTTCAAAGATAACCTATGCAGCAGATAGCCTGCAGGTTTGCTAAACATGTACAATATGCAAGAGGTTGTGCACTCTTTTACTCAATTACACTAGAAGTGCTAACTGCAAGAAAGTAAGACTTTTAGTTGGCAACTGCAGCATCATCCCCAGTAAGATTCTGAAAACGATTAATTTCTGACTACATACTGTACCAAGAATGCCAATGTAACAATAATATGATGACTGCGTTAAGATGAGTGGTAAGTCATGAGCACAGAAGACAATACATACTTTCTCTGGAAGGGTGAAAAGATGATGAAATCTTATGTTTTCTGCCTAATCCCCAAATTAAATGACAATCATCAATGTGACAGTATCAATGTTGATCAGTTCCAGAAAGTCCTTGCATGAGTGCTAAAATGGAAGGTGATGTACAACTTTTCAAATGACAGGGCACAATGGCACACAAGTTTATATGTGGTGATCCTAGACTTAATAAGAAGGGCAATGAAGTACTCTTCCATTTAAAGGAGGAAATTTGCCCGAAGCATTTCTTAATGTGGGCGGCCAAAGATCGGATGATCCTACAAAATACCGCATACACACACACACACACACACACGGGGTATATTGGAAAGTTCCTGGACTGGATCAAAAAGGAAATAATGGCTTAATTTAATTTTGGCTGTCATCTCCTTCAAAATAGTCTCCTTGGGAACATATACAGTGATCCTACTGTTTTTTTCCATGCTTCAAAAGTACCGTGGAAGTAATTTTCCTTAATGTTGTCGAGTACCGCTTGTGATTCCCTTTGGATGTCAGACACTGTTTCAAAACGTTGTCCCTTTAGTTTCATTTTCAATTTGGAAAGCAAAGTGAATTCAAAAGGGGCTAAGTCTGGTGAGTACAGAGGATGGGGAACAATAACTAAGTTGTTGTTAGTCACAAACTCTGTTTTTTCATGGATGTGTGGGCAGGTGCACTGTCATGATGAAGGAGCAATGCGGCGTATGTTCAAATTGTCTGTTAAGAGCTCCTGGCAAACTCCATAACTGATCCCAATGGTGTCTGTGTACTCATGGATTGTTTAGCGACAGTCTTTGTGGATGGGTTCTCCATTTTTTTTAAACATTTTCTGCGATTCTGTTGGTGCTTGGTTGCCCTGAACGTTTGCCATCTTCAACTGACACACAACAACTGGCCTTGAAATGTGAATGCCATTCAAAAACCACTGTCTGGCTTAAAGAATGTTCTCCAAAAACCTCATGAAGCATTTCAAGGGTTTTGGTAGCGGATTTACTGAGCTTCATGCAAAACTTGATGCAGACATGTTGCTTGATTTTGCCATCCATTGCAGACAAAACGAAACACAAAGTCAAAAGAGCAATGTGCGTTCACAGCGCGGTGTCACGTGGAAGACAGAAGTGTGACCTTGGCTTGCCTTCTCATCTTCTTTCACTGAGGCAGTTACAACAACAGTCCGGGAACTTTCTGATACCTCAGATATATAGATGATGACTGTATGTGATGAAGTCTTCTTGGGAATTTTGCTGTGGGGGCATGCTGTAGCGTAGTTGGTTGAGGCACTATTATGCTACAAGCCAGAAGGTCACAGGTTTGAGCCCCATGACGTGGCTTTTTTTTCCAATTGACCTAACACTTCCAGACGCACTATGGCTTTGGGGTCGACACAGACTCTTACAGAAATGAGTACCAGGAATCTTCCTGGGGGGTAAAGGGCAGCTGGCATGTAAGGCTGACAACCTTACAGCCATCTGTGAGCCAATCATCTAGATAATGTGGGACCCTCAACATCTCACAACCCTATGGGCCTCCATGGCCTGTTACAGGGATAGATTTACCTTTTGCCTTAAGCACAATAGATCACTGTAAGTCGCGGTGCAAGGGTCAAGAAGGCCTACCCCTTATACATTCATTCATACCTTTTGCCTTACCGTATGGAATTAGCTGCATCCAGAAATATTTCAAACACCTGTATGAATGTTGTTTTTTGCCATGGGTTTTCAACTTTGCTTTAGAATATGTCATTAGGAAGGTTCCGGAAAAGCAGGTGGGACTGCAATTAAATGGGACACATCGGCTGCTGGTCTATGTTGATAATGTGAATCTACTGAGTAATAACACAGACACCATAAAGAAAAACACAGAAACTTTAGCAGACACTAGTAAGGAGGTTGGTCTAGAGGTAAACACAAAGAAAAGTAAGCATATGTTGCCACCTCGTTAAAAGAATGCAGAGCAAAATCATGACATAAAAATAGCTAACAGAAATTTTGAAAATGTGGCACCAACAAAATATATGGGAATGACATCAATAAATCAAAATTTGATTCCAGAGGAAATTAAGATGAGGCCGAATTCAGGTAATACTTACTACCATTCAGTCCAGAACCTTTTGTCTTCTTGTCTGCTGCCTCAAAACATAAAAATTATAATATACATAAGTATAATTTTGCCTGTGGCTCTGTACGGGCATGAAAACTGGTCCCTGATATTAAGGGAGAAGCACAGACTGAGGGTGTTTGAGAACAGGGTTCTGAGAAGAATATTTGGACCGAAGAGGAATGAAGTGATAGGAGGATTGAGAAAACTGCATAATGAGGAGCTTCTTAACTTTGCCAAGTATAATCAGAGTGATCAAGTCAAGGAGGATGAGATGAGCAGGGCATGTATCATGCATGTGGTGAAGTTCAATGCATACAAGTTTTTGTGGAAAAACCATAAGGAAAGGGACCACTAGGAAGACCTAGATGTAGGTAGCAGGATAATATTAAGATGATCTTAGAGAGATAAGACGGGGTGGTATGGAATGGATTGATCTGGATCAGGATAGGGACCAGTGGAGTGCTTTGTGAACATGGTAATGAACCTTTGGGTTCCATAAAATGTTGGGATATTGAATATCTGCACAACTGGTGGCTTCTCAAGATGGGCTGAGCTGCATGGAGTCAGTATAACTCCAAGACAGACAGTAATTCAGATGAGGGAGCTAGTCAGAGTCTTCCACTTAAGGGAGGCTTAGATGAAGCCTTGCATTCAGTTGTAATATGTGAAAGCTGCAAAATTAATTAAAAATAAGAGACTCTCGTACAAAGTTGGTTTTCCTTCCATACAGCAGAAGCGATAACTTTTAGTGAAGCATTTCCTGGACTCACACTACTTCCAAATTAATTACCAGAGGTGTTAACACACAGCTGAGGTATCCTAAGCTGAAAATCACTTTTGTTTGCAATTGGAGAATGCAGGGGTTTGTGCCCTCCTAGATGTTTGGGACCAGCCAATTAAATGTCAAGCCTGTAAGGTGTCAACTTTTGTTCAAAATGTTGGAACTGAGGTTAAACGCTACTTCTGAAGATGACTGGTTATCAACAGCCTGTGAATTTCAGTGACTGAGTTCAGATGTACCTGAGCATCACTCCAATAATTAATTCTAAATTTCTGACTTATTTAACCATTTAAGCCTGTTACATATACTTGAGAAGAATCTTGTGTCTCTTTATCTGAGCCAAATGACATCAGAATCCACCTGTGAAGTGGAACCAAAGCAAATCTTTATAGGATTCCTTTTATCCTGGAATCTTACTGGTGCTGAATAAACCATCTCAGGTCTTACCTTAGCAGTTACAATAATTACCCAAAACCATTTTATAATTATGCATTTTGTGTGATGTGAGGTTCTCACAGCAGTGAATATGAATATTATATTTAAGCACACGTAGTACAGACAAGCAGCGGCACCCACACAAGAAGACTACATTAAATAACACCTGTACAGTGTGAAAACAAGAACTAGCCGCTCCAGCACTTAGACATAGGGCGAGTAACCCTAAGAATTTTAAATTTTAAATTTAAAATTTAGAGAAAATTTTAAAAGGTTTTAAAAACATCATAACTAAAGATTTTTAGAGTGCTACTACAAGAATATCAAATTTGACGTGTGCAACATAATCTACATACCAGACACATATCAACGATGTAGATGTTGATAATATGAAGAATGTGACATTGTGTTTTTAAATGTTAAATTTTAGACTGGGTTCAGTGTGGCAGCAACGTTAAGAGTATACACCTGATGATGGCCGATAGAGGCCGAAACATGTAGTGTAGAAAGAACAAGATCAAAGACATATAATATATATTGTTTGCACTTAGGACGGAGTTTGTATCATTTATACTGAATATGAAGACTGCAGTAATGTGGACTGTGATGCTATGTAGCTTGACAGATAGGTGTAAACATTTTGAAGCAATCTGCTGCCTGTATTTATACTGAAGATGGAGGCACATGGTTTCTCCAATATGTCATATCTACCATGCTACATGGGGGCATGCAATATCATAGCTGGTTGAGGCACTATGCTACAAGCCGGAAGGTCAAACGTTCAATTCTTGATGAGGCCATTGGATATTTCAATTGACCTAATCCTTCCAGCTGCACTATGCCCCTGGGGTTAACTTAGCTTCTAACATAAATGAGTACCAGGAATTCTCCTAGGAGTAAAGGGAGGCCAGCACATAAGGCTAATGACCTCACTGCTATTTGTAAGCCGACTGTCTACAAAATGTGGTAGCCGTGACATTTCACAAATGGGCCTCCATGACCTGTTACAGTAATAGCTTTACCGTACCACGCTACATGACATCACTACCCACAGGGCAATGCACCAGCAAAATTCCCAAAACTCAGTATGTGCTCTACAAGCTGTGTTCAATGAACAATCAACGGAAGACAGGGCTCCCATGTTCCCACAGATCCAAACGTGTATGATGTGTGAGGCGTAACTCAAAACCAAGTGTTTAAAAGATAATTCAGCACACTTTGGATATGTGCTGGATGATACACTCTCTGCAGCTACTGCATGTCATGCTAAGTAAAGTGGTTTCAATGCCAAAATTTTTTTACTGCAGACATAACCTCAATTAAATTGTGCAGTAGCCTGTGATTGCACTTAGTGAGTGAAGCCCATCTGCTGGCAGACAGATGTCTTGCTCTCTGAAGAGATAGATATAAGGCTGGAAACAAGAGGGATGAAGCAACATGAATTTTCCTCAGAAATTTATTCTCATATACCCTTAACTTTTCCTTTCATCAGAGTGGAAGACTCTTAGTGAGAGACCAAATTTCATACCCACACAAAAAAAGGAAGTACTGTATTTACGCATGTATAGGCCACACATTTTTTGCCAAAAATTCAAGAGGAAAACTGGGGTGCGGCTTATATTCGAAATATTCGAAATCACACTTCATTTAAAAAAAAATTATGTTCATAATTAGTAATACAGGGTGTAATACTCCTGAAATAATATTCCAAGAAAATTATTTTTTCTATAATTTCTGTCTGAAAATTGTGCTGCAGTCTATACACGCAAGCGGCCTATACATGCGTAAATACGGTAATATTACATACAGTTTTGTATATTTTAATTTTACATTCCGTCAGAGAGACAGAAAGACAAAGATTCTGAACTAAACAGTAGCATGCACTTTCAATATTTATTCTATTTTCAATCCCACCATGAATATTATTTTGATTTGTTCTTGTTATTCTCAAGCACTTGATCTTCAGTGCATTTTCAAAGGAAACATCAGCAATTATTTGATTATCATTCCATTCTGTATTTTTCTGACAAGGACCAGGTTTCTTCAGCACTTACTTGCTAAGCTTATAGTAGTGTCTTCTTCATTACAAAAACTCCGTGGCCTGTAGTCCGCAAGTGAACTATACCAACCGAGTGACCACCACTTGTCGGCAAAGTTAGTGCCAACTTTTGCGGATAGAATGTGTCACATGGTCAGTGCAATGGATCCACAAGGCCATTAATCTCGGTTTTCTAGACTGGAGTGTCTCCTTCATTGGACTAAATTTTGATTTGCATTGTTGGACTAAATGCAAATCAAAATTTGCATTAATGACAAAAACAAGTTGTGAAAATATGGGGCGTTTCTTTCATTATCTTGCCTGTAAAATTTGTACAGCCTTGTTACTGAACACAGATGTATGAAACTTTCACAGATCATTCTGCACACTTAAGAAATTTTCTTTTGTTATATTTAGATTGCAATCAAACGCCTAGAAGCATCGGACCTCCCCACCTCTCGAAATTTTCATTACTTTTATTTATTCCACATGGCATGGAAATGAATGTGGAAAAAACAAAAGTAATGAAAATTTAGAGACAACCCCAGTCACAATAAAGATAGACCAAAAACAACTGGAGAATGTGAAATGTTTTAAATATTTGGGTAGCTTGTTAACAGATGATGGAAGGTGTACTAGTGCAATTAAATCCAGGATTGCCATGGCAAAAGCTGCATTTAGCAAGAAGAAGAATCTTTTTACCAGCAAATTGGACTTAAATTTGAGGAAGAAACTAGTGAAATGCTACATTTGGAGCATAGCTCTGTATGGGGCTGAAACATGGACACTTAGGGCAGTAGATCAGAAACATCTGGAAAGTTTTAAAATGTGGTGTTGGAGAAGGATGGAGAAGATCAGTTGGACCGATTATGTGAGAAATGAAGAAGTGTTAATTAGAGTCAGTGAGCAGAGGAATATCCTACACGAAATAAGAAAACAGAAGGCTAATTGGATTGGTCATGTTTTATGCAGAAACTGCCTTCTAAAAGAAGTTATCGAAGGAAAGCTAGAGGGGCGGATAGAAGTGACAAGAAGACGAGGAAGAAGACGTAAGAAGATGCTGGATGACCTTGGGGACAGAAGAGGATACTATCTTTTGAAGGAGAAAGCTCTAGATCGCATTAAGTGGAGGAATTGTTTTGGAAGAGACTGTGGACCTGTCGTCTTGATAGATTACTGATGATGATGATGATATTTAGATATTCCATTTCATGCTCCCAAAGATCACAAGCCTTATGCAAACAAAAAACAGAATTGTTCAGAACCTCAGTTACAGTCTCTGTAGAAATGGCTTCAAACTCTGATTGCATGACATTTTTCATTTTTGGAATTGTGTGCACATTTTTCCGAAGCACCCTACCCTTCAAGTCTCCAGTCAAAAAATATCAAGGATTTAAGTCTGGCAAGATTTGTGACCATAAACATACTTCTTCAGTCAGTTTGACACGAATCTCTCTCCTTGAGAACAGCATGACATAAGCACTGCACAGCACTGCTGGTGTGTGCTGAAACCAGACTGAATTCATCCCATCAGAAAAGCAGCAAATTCATCATTCAGTAGACCGAGGTAAACATCACATATCACTGTACCATCAATGAACTTGGGACTAAATATTCTGACACTGGATGATACACACCATATTACAACTCTCTCTGCAAACAGTAGGTTCCCTTTGTTTCTCTGAGGCTCAAAGTCTGATTTTGCTTGTTACTGCAACCACCCAAGCTAAAGCAAGCTTCACTGGAGAACCATTTAATATTCAAGACACCAGGATTTTGCTCCGGTAGAACTCCAAACACCCTCATAAAAGTGTACTGTACTGTCATTCCATCTTCAAACAATGGCTGACTCAACTGCATTCTGTACGGAAACAATGACAAGTCATCACGACAGATTTTCCATGCAGTGCTGGTTAAGACCAATATCTGTTGTGCTAAACATTGTACAGTTTTCTTGGACTTCTTGTTATCGCCTCTTGTGTTGCACTAACAACTTCTCCTGTACAAACAGATGTGCTATGTTTACGCCCCTTGTCACATTTGTATCCCACACACTTCCTGCTTCTTCACACTGTTTATCATTCTGGTATATAGTGTCCCTGGATGGCAGAACATGAACAGAAAACTCTTTATTCTCTGCAGCAACACAAGACATACCAGAAGAGTAAAATGTTTCAATAACAAATACTTTATAATCCATCATATATGCACCATCATGTTATTGAGTTCATCATTAGCACCAGCAACAAACAATTTTCCAAGACTACAGAATGATTTGTGAAAGTTCCAAACAACTGTGTTCAGTTACAAAAATGTTAAAAGAATTTTAAAGTGTCAGATGATAAAAGACACCCTGTACAACATTTGACTCTCATGTTCATTTCTTCTGATCAGCTTGTAGTTTCATGCTCAGTCTATTATATAATTGTCTGTGATGGAACATAATCAATAGAACATAAAATGTGCATAAGTTCTGGCACAGTCTGTATTTGATAATTACACTGGCGACTCTGTAGAATTTCAGGCACAAAGCCTACTGATTGACACTAACCTACTAAGAAATGTTCATGGAATTAAAATCCATTTTTTCCAGTGTCTGTACATGCAGAATACAGAATACAGTTTATATGAAATAATATAACATATTCAATTCAAAACAAAGAAAACCAAAATTAATAAACAGGATTATTGGATAAAAACCTGCTATTAGAATGGGGCATATTGGGGGCCAGTATTTGTACTTCGACCCAATAATTTTAACAATATACACAAAAGTGATTCTGAGTGACAATATCAGAACAGGAATTACAAACTGAAACATATATATAACCGATGACACAACACTAAAATCACAGCACTACGAGTTGTAAACAAATATCCCACAGAGACAGGCCTTTAGCCTTCAAATGAGCCAAATGCCAAACCTACAAACTGAACTGCTTATACTCATAAATGAGGAGACACGACACAGCAATACCTCGTAACATAAAAATTCTTAACCTTATACCACAAAAGAAAACACAATTTCAAGAGGCCTCCAAATGTGACTGACTTACCAAACACTGAATACGAAAATCTGAAACATACAACTGCAAAAGTTAGGTTAACATCTACAACGCTTTACCTTCAAAGCATGTTTTTCTCTCGTTTTCTTGCTGTAGCATTGCACCACTTTCCCATTAATTCCCAATCCTAAAACTGTGTTCGATATTTCATAGTCATCTGTAATTGGTGTTGTTTTAGGTGATCTTACAGACTTTATCCCTATTTCGTTCATGATGACACTGATAAATAAATGTCCGTGCTCGAAAGCGATTATACTTACTACCAGCTGTATGGCTGGTATATGCAAGTAATATTATAAACAAAAATTAACAGTCACATTAGGTTAACACGCATGTAACAAACCCATTCAGTTACACTGTTATTACTTCCAACCTACATGAGACCACCATGATACAAATGCACCTGAGTCACACACAAAGATAGAACAAAAAATGTTATTCTACACGATTCCACGCCTGGCGTGTAGTTAGCTGCCATTAGTAACTACGGATTAATTGACGATTCGAGGAAATACACTGTTCTACAGCTTGTACAGAATTTTATTCCTTCGAGATGATGGTACTCAATATCATCATCAGTATCTTTAATATTGATAGGGAGAACTGGTGTTGCTGTGTAGCGTAGTGACTAGCGGGACTAGCATGGGGGCCAAATCTGAGGTGGCGAGGTTCGATTCCTTTTTCCATAACGGCGAGGCCGGCTATGGGGCTCACCCAGCCTCCTATACAGTTGATACGGTCGATACTAGGGGCAGTTTCCCCGGTCGTAAGGTGGCAGAAGCGTGAACGAGCGTGAAGCTGTGTTCACACTTATCTATTGCTTGGATTGAGACTAGTGAAGTGATATCCACACTTCAACCAAGATATTTATGGCGTGGTGCATAAATAATCGCACAGATAACTTTACTTTATGGTGTTAAAATGTGAACTTTTAAATAGTGTAACCGCCAAGTTTGCTGTGCATATAGATTTTGACTCTTCAGTGTCTAACTGCAGCTTCAAATGCCAATTTGGACCTAGATATTTGTCTTCATTTTTATAACATGCAGATTCCTTCTTATGAATCAGGCTGTGTCCATGGTGCCTTACTGGATGCAAGAGTCAAAGGGATAGACAGTTCTACTATGTTAAGTAATGTGGTGGGATCGGTGAACAAATAGAATGTATCAGCTTGCAATGGAATTTTGTTATAATCAAATATTCCTGTGCAGAGAGCAGGCCCTCTTAGGGTGAGGGCACACCAAGGAAACTGGCAACTGCAATTTCCAAGAATTGTTATCACCCTGAGTTCAGCACATGTTACTGAATGGAGCAGCACAAATTGAGGAAACTGCATTGCCATTTACTCAGTTTGTGCTGCCAGTTTCCTTGGCGTGCTCTTGCCATTAAGCATTTCTACATGCATTGGTGTCAACCTGCAGGCTATTATCTTCTTTTCAATAAAGCTGCAGTATCCAAAACAGTTTCAGTAAATCCATTTAACACACTTACCATCAGTATTAACAGAATAACGTTAGAAAAATGATTCTGTTTGTCGGTATGGACAGGGAAAATAAATTACAATTTTTTATTTTTATAATTCAATCCGTTGAATGTTTGTTACAAATGACTAAAAGCATAACTTTTAATTTAGAGAATAAAATCTTCAAAATAACGCCCTATTAGTTCAGCTACAGTACTCTTCAGATCACAGGCCTGTGGTAATATTATCTGTGGGATGACAAGTAATGTCAGTTGTGGGATTTTTAAAATTCATAGAACTTGTTATATTCATCTGCATTGATTATCATATGATTGTGAAAACTGAATGACTGGCTTTGATACTGGTTAGGCATGCTTATCTACTTGCAAGATTAGGAAACCTGAGTCAGGTCAGCTTGTGACCTGGCTGAAATTCAAATCCAGCACCTCTACAAGTCTATAGTGTTACCACTACACTAGCCTGCTTAGTTGCACTATTTCACTAACAATGAGAACTAGCCAACCAGTAGATGGACACTGTCACCTAACTGGGACCAATAAATAGTCCCACTTGTGAGAGATGACATAAAACAAAACAGCCTCACACATCCTATGATTGTGAGGTTCCAGTAATTTAAGAATCTGTCACTTCAGACTGCACTTCAGGAAGCCAAGTGACTTGCTAAGTGCCCAATGAGCACAAGACTGTTGGACTTAGGAACAGGAAATACAGTAGTTTGAAAATGTGGTGTAAGGTTTGAAGTACATCTACATCTAGATAGCCTAACTTAATTGAAATCCCACATATAACTATAACCAGAAAAATTATACGTACAAACATTAGTCTTTCATACTTTTGAAAAATATAGGTAACTGATCCTGCTATTCATGATCCTTTATACGAGTATGTTAACTGGTGTGCTTAAAACACATCATTAGGAAGGTGCAAGAAAATGAGGGACTAACTGAACAGACATCAGCTTGTGGTCTATACGACTTTTGAAGCTGTAATAAATGGTGGTTTGGAAGTTTAACACAGTAATCTAAGTAGCATAAAAAAATTTAGAACTATGTTCTTTTCCATGTTACTACAAAGTGATTTGTGTGTAAACAAGCCACACTGCGCAGCAGCTGTGTGACCTCGAGAGAATGAAGCCACAACCTCCACCCTTCCTCCTATTTGGGTTAGAACCTTCTTCAGTCCTGTCTGGGAATTGTTAGAGTGATAAGCAAACAGAAGGTACCGCAGAGCATGGAACAACCCATTGTGATGAAATTCCTTGTTGGAGAAAACGTCCCATCTACTGAAATTCACCACAGGCTCCAACAGCAGTATGAGGAAGAGTGTCTCTCACGGACTCGTGTGTTTGAGTGGTGTAAGTGCTTCAGAGAGGGCAGAGCGCACGTGGAGAATGAACTGCATGATCATTGGCCGCGAACATCCATCACCGAGCCAAACATTGATCATGCAGACATGCTTATTCGTGAGAACAGGCGCATCACTCTCAAGGAACTTGGAGCAATGCTGTCCATCCGTGATGGTAGTGTAGAATACATTGTGAAATACCACCTCCACTATCACAAGGTGAATGCATCGTGGGTACTATGCACTTTGACGGACGTGAACAAAATGGTGTGCGTGCAAACTGCCAGTCATCTCCTACAGCAGTTTGAAGATTAAGGTGATGCATTTTTGAAGTCTATAGTGACCACTGATGAAATGTGGGTGTGCTACTTCAATTGCGAGTGGCGGCATACCAGTTCTCCCAAACCCAAGAAAGCGTGGAGGAGCTGTTCGGCAGGAAAAGTGATGGCAACGTTCTTCTGGGACTGGCAGGGGGTTATCCACGTAGACTTTCTGACATGCCAGAACAGTCAATGCAGCTTATTACTCAGACCTCCTGGCAACAGACGTGAAGGAAAAGTTCCAATCCAAGTGGAAGACAGGTGGAAAGTGGGTAGTCTTCCTTCAAGACAATGCACGCCCCCATATGACCAAAACAATGGAAACCCTCCGGAAATTGAAATGGAACCTTCTGACACATCCGCCGTACTGTCCCGATTTTGCCCCAAGTGATTTCTACCTGTCTGAAGGCTCAAATCAGACTTGCAAGGCATGCGCTTTGTGGATGATGCCGTCATCCAGACTGTTCGGGAGTGGCTATGCCACCAACCACAAGTCTTTTTTGAAAAGGGTATCAGGATGCTTCTAGAACGTTGGAAAAAATTTGTTGACTCCGGAGGGTAGTACGTTGAAGACTTGACATGTGGAAGTAAGTGTTTGGCAATTATAGTTAAAAAAAAAATAGTCCTGGTCATATTTGAACCACCTTGTATAATGAATGACTATTAATCTAGCCATATTTATGCTGTTTGTGAAGATATTACTGCTGGGCTTCACAATCTATTCTTATCTATATTGCACTGGCCTGTTATCAGGAGTGATATTGTATGTGAGTGTCTTGAAAAGGAACTTTACCTCCATTATGGCAACAGAAAGAAAGGTTCATATTTAAATAAGAAATTTGAAATTAATTATCTTTCTAAAGTTAGCAGCTGTTTGAAAAGTGAAGAAAGGTGTATACCATTCATGCACTACATTAAACATCTTGAGGAGGAGCAGAAGAAACAGCAGCTCCTGCACTGACATGGATTCAACACTTGTCCTCCATAATATGTTGAAGTTAAATCAACATGCCACTTACATAGTAGAAATAAAGTAATTCCTATGCTTAATTAAGCATCATTCTATGAAGATGCATTTTTAACCTCAGTGATGGTCTAGTGGTTAGAGTTCCAGGCTACAGTTCCAGAGGTCCTAGGTTCGATTCCCGGCACTAACAGATTTTCTGGGAAATAGTGGGTCTGGAACGGGGTCCACTCAGCCTCATGAGGATAACTGAGGTGTTATTTCAAGGAAACACCGGTTCTGGTCTAGAATATCAAGATTAACGGCCATGGGGATCCGCTGTGCTGACCACGTGACACCCTCTATCCGCAAAAGTTGGCACAAACTTTGCCGACAAGCAGCAGTCGATCAGTCAGTAGAGTTCACTTGAGGACTACAGGCCACAGAGTTTCTTTTTGATAGAGACAAATGGTCAGCTGCTGTATCCCTGGGGAAGGCCTCCCCTAACCACTGAACAGGAGGCTGAGTGGGCCTCTTAGCCTGTCTGAATGTTGTGGGGAAGAAAAGAAAAGATTATGATACGATGCCTGAAAGCCCGGAATAGTCCACTGCTAAACAACGGCTTGCTAACACATTCTATGGAGATGCAGATTTGTGGAGACAGACTTGGTATGGAATGCGCTTTCCATGTCAAGGAAAATAACTTTCAAATATACATACACATGTGGGAACTGCCCATATTCAAACAAATGTTACAGTGACATCCCACAGACACGCATAATCATAATCCAACAGATTACCTTAAAATACTGAAGTTTATGAAACACACTGCAACTCCACCTTTTAAAGTTTGTATTAATTATTCATAACACTCAGCAACTTGATGACCTGTCTGTATTCTTGCCAGCTCAGGGAACAGACATGTGAATCATACAGCCAATTATCACATCTGCTGGAGTCAATGTTTCCTGACAGTGGTGGAGCTTGTGCAAATTACGTAACAATCACAACATATGACAGTCTTTAAATTCTGCATTCTGTTGTTTGGCAATTAATGTGGGTCCAATTTTCAATATGTGTTCACTGTATTATACATGATCTAGTTTTTATAATATATATTATAAATATATCCAAAATAAAAACGGTATCTTTATTTGTGTGTTTTGCATTGTGTTGTGTATGATAAGAAGCTCAAATCTTACACTAGTTGATAAGATGAAGAAAATTAAATATTATAAAAACAATTACAGTTTGGGCACATATCATTATACAATTATTTTACATTATCAACCAGTGTATAAATTTAACTTATTTTTATTTTGGAAATAGTTGTACTTCACATTGTAAAAACTATATAATACAGTAGAAACTTACTGACAGTTTGACCCATATATCAATAAGGTAGCTATGATATGACAATTCAATTAGTGTTTCTAGTTAGTGTTCCACACGATGATGACCTGTGAGGTCAAAATATGTAGTGGTTTCAACAGCTGTCAGTCAATACATTTAAGTGGTACCAGCAGTTCTTCATTATCATCATCACTGGCACAACAGCCCTTTGTGAGCCCCTAGCCTTCCTCTGGATTGCTCACCATTCTTCTCCAATTGATGCTACATTCCTCCAGTTCTTTACACCCAATACTCTTATGTCCTGCCACACACATTCTTCCCATCTCAATCTTGGTCTTCCCACTTTCCTATTTCCTTCTAGTTTAGTATTAAGTATTTTCTTAATCGTTCTCTTCTGATCCAAGGTAAGTGAAACTACATACAACCTCAAATTTATATGAGCCAATTTCAATATATGCAGGTCTATTAGCACAGTCTTTCTTGGTTACCGGCATGTACTTTGTTTTATTTTGGTCAATTTGTAGATTGATCTTTTTTGCTGCTCTTTCCAAATTAACAAAAGCTTCTTTCATAGATTTTTGTTCTACCAATTATATCAATATCATCTGCAAATGCCAAAATTTGAAGTGACTTATAGAATATAGTTCCCCTTGTGTTGATGCCTGCATCTCTAACTACCTTCTCTAATGCTATATTGAACAAAAAGGCAGGCTAGGGAATCCCCTTGTCAAACTCCGTTTCTAGTTATTATAGGGCTGGACAACATATTCTGAATCTTAATTTGGCATGGTGGCTCTGACTAAGGCGATTAACTTCCGTGGAATGTGCATCTCTTCCACTGCCAGAAAAAGACTATCTCTATCTATGGAGTCATAGGCTGATTGGAAGTCAATGAAAAGATGATGAGTTTCAATTTGGAATTCATTACACTTTTCAAGGACCTGGCAAATAGTGAAAATCTGATCATTGGTTGATCTTTGACGAAACCCACATTGGTAATCCCCAATTATGCCTTCCACAAAGGGAGAGAGTCTGTTAAATAGAATGTTGGAAAATATTTTATATGCTATGCACAACAGACTAATTCCTCTATAATTAGAGCATACCATGACATCGCCTTTCTTATGGATAGGGCATACAATACTTAGGTTC